ATCAATGATTTAATATATTTAATGAATTACATTAACAGAATATTATGCAACAATGAAAATGGAGCACGTAATAACACAGTCTCACAAACAATGATTAGTCAAAGGAAACAAAAAAGAGTACACAGTATATGGTTACATTTACATCAAGTCCAAATCAGGGGAAAAGTAATCTACAGTGTGAAAAGCCAACAGGCTGATTACCCTTGGGAAGATAGTAATGACTTGAAAAACACACAAAGACTTCTGAATTTTGAACATTCTGAGGTGTTTATTGATTTGTGGACTTTTCTGTAAGCATTTTCTACTGTAATTAAAGTTTACCAACTACAATGGAAATGACAAATGCATTTAAAAATAAAAACTGCAATTTACTTAGCCCACATCACTACGGCAAACCAACTTTATTCTGGAGCTAGATTTATCATGTTCTTCACTTGCAGTCATTAAATATTTGAAAATTACAGTTAGTCCAATGATCACAAGGAGATATCTCTAGCTCCCCAAGGCTCAGTGTTTATTAGGGGAAATTCCAAAGGGCAAAGAACTCATCCCATTGTCCAGGTCCCTTCCTGACTAATCTCACACTAGTTTGTTGCTACTGTTCAACTGCACTAAAAGAAGGCACTAATAATATATCAATGAAGAAAATAACCATTTAATACTTTTTGTCTTCTTCTGAATCACAATTTTTTTCTTTATATTTCTATATTTTTCTAGCCTTTTATTAAAAAAAAGAACTGACTACATTTATAATCAACATAAAGAAGTTATTTTCAATAAAAGGTAGTGGGGTAAAAATACAACTTTATAAGGAGACAAATGCTGAGGCTTAGAGAATAATCAGTATTAACAGAAAAGGTAGGACAGAACAGTGCATCAGAAAGGGAAGTAACCAAAACAACTAAACTGTGAGGTATCATCTCACCTCGAGTTGGCATATACACACATAGGAGGAGTTGTGCTGTCAAACCAAAGGCAAGTGGTTCAAATCCACTGCTGTGAGAAAAAGATGGGCAATTTCCTTCCCTGTAATTTACAGACTCTGAAAACTCACTGACGTGCCAGCTATCAGTTGGTTCCAACTTGATGGCATATAACAGCAACAATAAACACATAGAGAAATATACACATATTTTAAATCATACCACAAAGACTGAAAATCAATGGCATACTATTTAATTCACAAGATAATTTTCAAAGGACTCTTGATTCCAGGGGAAGTCAATTTTTTAAGAGGGAAACAAACCTTCTTTGCTTGAAAGGCTGGGGGCCAGGGAATAACCTCCTTTACAGTATCTAGCAGCAGTTACAAAAGTAAAACTGTTTGAAAACCAAACAAGGTTACAGAATTCCTAACACCGTCCTAATAGATTTGCTCTGTCCCAAGGCAAAAATGGAAAACAGAATCTGACAGGCAGATCTCCAGAGCCATGATGACATCACCTCCAATCAAGGTTCTGGGGCTCCCTGCATTAAGTACTCTATCTCCAAGTAAATGAATAAAGCCAGTACACAGTGCAGTAAGCCATACTGGTACTAACTCCCAAGCTTTCATCCTCCCCCACAGAGACATTTTGCAAGTAGCTATTCTTAAATTTGTTTTTGAAATCACAGCCCTGAGTACTAAATTTGAAACTAGTCAGAGACACTGATAGAAAGCCAGTTCTAATTTCACTCTCCACATCACTTTTACCTTTGATTCACAAGTCTCCCTGACCACAACCACAAACTTTTTGGTTTTAGTACTGTGCATAGAAAGGAAAAAGCAAAGCATAGAGGGAAGACCGGGAGCTAATAATCAAAGAAGTCAAACCAATGAGAGAAATCAACACACTGCCAAGATGTCTCTGCAACAAAGGCACAGAGATCTATTATTATTAATGGATAAGTGTTTGATAACCCAAAAGAATCGATCTCTGGGAATACAATGGCAACATTGCATGGGAGATAAAAGCCATGGAAAGTCAGTAACTGCATAATTGGAAGGGGGAGGGGAAAGAAGGTACTTAATTTCTAGAGCCTCAGTCCCCTTCAGAGGATGACATCAGTGGCAAAGGAAACCACTGTTTAGTCTTATTCAATGGGACACACTTCCTTCTAACTTCTGTTGAAAATTTTGTCTACAATATCAAGTTCAACATCTGGTCCAATGCTCAGTCAAATTTACTGAATCACACAGATGCTGAGTTGTATCATTTGGCATAAGAATAAAGGTAAAGTTACATCAAATTCCAGAGAAGAAAAGTGCTTAAGACTATTGTCATACATGCGTGATCTGGGTTTGATAAGCTGTAAGTGTAAAAGTTAAAACCAAATATAAGTGCAAAATTATTCTTAGTGCAGATCTCTTTGAAAACTTATTAATCAAAATGGGGTGGGGGGGTGGGTGTGAAGTTAGGAATATGATATATACCCAAGAATTTTTCTTTTACTTTTTCAAAGAGAGGAGCAAATGGGGGGGGGGGGGCCTGGGCAGGGAGAAAAGTGCAACAATGAATGAATGGAAATCCAAAATCTCTGTAAATGAAAACCACATTTTGCTTTAGAAAGCAAAAGTCTTTGTTTATGAAGTTAAGTTGCAGTTGAATGGATGTGAACTAATTACCTAAGCAGACTATTTATACCATTTTTAGACTACCTTCTCATACATTTCACCCTTTAGTTCGTTTACCCACATACTTATGCCACAAATGCAAGACCTAAATTTTCTTTTATAGAAGACAAAATAAAACAGTTATTGGACACAGTAAATCACTGTTTTATCTAGGATGTTACTGGCATTATGGCTGCCAGAAACTGTCTTAAATGTGTCAGGTGGAGAAAAAAATTGCAGCATGCCTAGCTCAAAGAACAGTGCAATGGCTAACAATGGACTGACAGTGACATGGATTCCCTCTCAGGTGAACAAAAAAATGCCACTAGAGCCAAAAGGAGAAATAAAACTAGTATGAAACATTACCCTTGAAAAAAATGTGATCAAATAAAAAACTCTTTTACACTCTCTTCAGAGCAAATGATGAGTTAAAATTAACAAAGAATTCAAATTAGCCAGAATAATGTTCTTAGGTGCCAGCTGAATCAACTATAACACATAGCAACCCTATGAACAAGATTGGAACCCTGCCCATTCAGTGCCGTTCTCATGATCTCTGTCATACTCAAACCCACTGCTACAGTCACTATGTTGATCTGTATTGGTAAGGGCCTTCCTTTAGCAAGAATGCCAGACTATATTACAGAATCACTTGCCAAGATAAGAATTACTCCTCTTTCCAAAAGCTTCAAGTTCTATAGCCAAGTATTCCACAAGAACATTCCTAGCTACGATCACTCACCATATTAAGATTCCTTAAGGACAGGTAGAATGTCTAATGCATAGGAGATACTTAGAACAGCTGTTTAAGTAATGACAAACTTCCCGTCATTACTCTTCTCTGCATCCAAGCACAATTTAGCGTACAGTATTAAAATACATCAGGCTGAGAAGCAAGGTAAAATAACTCAAATTAGAGCACAATGTGGGCACTAAGCTTTTAACTTGCATAATATCATTAAGAGAAATAAAACTCATTCTCCAGTTCTCACTCAAACCTGAACACTCCAAACCTTGAAGAGAAAAACAGACTGACAGGATACTTTATTAATCCACGGATGAGAAGTCATGTGGGTAATCAGTTGCTTAAGTCACGAGGAAGAGACAAAAAGCTCGTTCTTTCGGAATCTGAAGATTATTTTCAACTAGGAAGAACCAACTGGCTGTACACCCACATCCCACATCTCTGCTTAAGTAAGGTGGTAAAAAAAGGTTCACAAGGCAGGCTTGCTAAACCTAAAGAATTTGACAAGAGAGTTAGAGAACAAAAATTTTCAAACTTCAACTAAGCACTTTGTAGGAATTCAAGAGCTCTTAATAGAGTGCCATCACATTCTACACCAATACACATTAAAAAAAAAAAAACACCCCAACCAAAAAAACCCTCAAAACTCACAACAGCAAACGCAATGACTTTTGGCTATACAGTACAGCAAATGTCACTCGAGGCTTTAAAATGACATCACTAGAAAGAAAAGAGGCAAATACCAGGAAGCAAAAGAGAAATCATATGCTTCAGGAGTAACTGAAAACAACTCAACTACCAACATTCCAGAGTTTGCCTAGGTTTGAATTTTAGCTCCATAACTTATCAGCGACGTGGCTTGGACAAATAACTTCACCTCTCTGTTCTTTAATTCCCCAAACTCACAAACAATACTTCAAGAAAATCATTCTGAAAATTAAGCATAACAATCTACGTAAAGGTCCTGGCAAGCAAACAGCACTTGGCAATAGTAAGCTATTATAATTTTCAATGTTACCACTTTTAGAAGCCATGATCTATTCAAGTTTAAATTCAACCCACCTAACTTTACATCCATTCCTAATCTTTCCCCTAATAAATCGGAAAGCTTCTTTCAGGATTTGCCCTAACATGACAAAAATCTCCCAGGGGCAGAGGCGTCTCAAATGAACTCAAATCTGAGCCCAGCACGCTCGCGACCCAACTCCCTGTCTTGATTCTGTTGTCATCGGAGAATCTGCCCCCACTACCAGGTCGGGCTGCTCATCGGAGAATACAGACGTGAAAGTGGCTCCATGCCAGGTGCCTGTTACCGACGGCGCAGTCGGCGAGGCCTGGGCCGGCGTCCCCGGCACCCTTTGGCTGCCCGCCCCGAAGAACTGAACCCCAGTCCCTAACCTGTGTGCAGCGGGCCTCCGGTCTGGACACTGTCAGTAAACAAAGCGTCCATGATGCCAATCCCAGCGCCCCGGCCAGAGGTCACACCCCGCAACCTCTGACCTCGCCCCCACCGGGCGCAGCCCGGGTCTGCTCCCGGGGTTGAGCGATGCCGATTCCCCACGGCCGCCGGGTCGGGCTCGGGGCTTTCACCGGGACGGGAATGACGCGGAGCCTCGGAGGGGGATGGGGCGGGCCACTGGCCGGGCTGGGCCCGCTGCTTACCACCGCCGCTCCGCTGGGGACTCAGGGCCGGCCGCGTCGCAGGAGCTCCCGCCGAGAAGCAGCAACGAAGAACAGAAGCAGAAAGGAAAACCCAAATTCCGGCTTCGGTAGACTCTTAGGCGCTTTTCTAGGGGTTCAAAACTGCTGCTGCCACCGCCTCTGGCTTTATGGCCCAGACTCCGGCCCCGCTCCCACTTCCGCCACCGCCGCCGCCCCGAGCGGAAGTACCTGTCACGAGACGGCCGACGCCGCGGAGAGCGGAGGAAGGACGACGCCTCACCCTGCGTCACGTTCCCTCCGCCTCGCGCCTGGGCCCGCAGCGCCTGCTTCAAATATGTCTGCCCCCCTCTATTGTCGGTATCTCCGAGGTCCGTACAAGGAACAGGACGGCGCCATGTTGGGCCCACACGTCCGTTCCTCAGCCACATCCCAGCCTTCCTGAATAGCGAGTTCCTGGAGAGAGAAGAGAAGACAGACTTGTCCCTTCTATGGCTCCCCTCCACGAGAGCACTGATCAGTCTACCAAATAGTTCTGTGTGCTCTTCAGGATCAACAAAGCTTGCTCTGAGAACAGGCTTGCTCAGCAGAGATCCCTCAGTAATCAAAGACAACAATCAAGACCCGTCGTTGCCTGGCAGTGTGTTCAGATTCATAGTGGCGGAGTAGAACTGACCTTAACCAAGCTCCCAAAGGCCTTAGCGAGATGGATTGCAACCCTTAATGAGATGGATTGACAGTGACTTCAACGCTAAGTTTCAGCACAACAGAGATTGTCAGGATGGCGCTTGATCGGTTTTGTTGTATTGCATGTAGGGTCGCTGAGTCAGAGTTAACGCCATTGCATCTGCAACAACAAAGCAAACTGCCCCATCTTTCTCCTGCTCCTGGGGCGGGTGGATTGGAACGGATGATCTTTCAGTTAGCACTCTAGCGCTTACCCACTGTGCAACCAAGGCTCCTTAATGCGAGACAAGTGTTACTTTGTGAACTGATACAGGGATGAGGAAGGGCATCTTTTACTGAGCACCAGTGCTATACTTTGAGTAGTTCTTACTTAAACTTACTCATTGTTGTGGAGTTGATCCTACTTACAGCTGACCCTCCAGTGGTTTGACAGAAGCTGTAAATCGCACAGAAGGATTCCAATGGCCCAAGAGGGACGGCCTTTGAGTAACCACAGCACCACCCGACCTGAGAGGCACAACTACCAGAGCTCAAGAAAAGGTTATTACGACTATTTTGCAAATGTAAAACTAAGAATTGAAGAACCCAGAAAATCACTTTACCCGTCTCACAAAGTAATTAGCAGAGCCAGCATTGTGAGGCAAGCTCTCTCATAGGACAATGTGTGTGATCTTTCTTCTTGTTGTTGAGTACCGTCAAATCGGGGATTTTCAAGGACTGTAAATCATACTTGGAGGAGATAGCTAATCTTTCTCCTGCGGAGCAGCTGATGGATTTAAACCTCTTACCTTTGCATTGTCAGTGCAATTCCTTACCACTAAGTCACCAGAGTTCCCTATGTGAACTGTATATTGGCCAGCAAATAATTGCACTTACTGTGTTCTTGAATAATAGAGACAGAAGAGATGAGGTAGACACTTGAAGAACAAAAAGGTGGTAGCCCAAGAAAATGGAAAAAGACCTCAAGGTTTTAGAATTTAATGTTATAAGGTAGACTATAAAGATGAACCCTGTAGAACTTAGGAGGTGCCCCACGTTCCCAGCCTCACTCCACTCTGAATTTTATTTTCCACAACATGCTCCTATTATAGTCTTTCCTATCTTTCTCAAAAAAAATTCCATTATTTCAGTTGGTAAGTACAAAAATCTGAGTGACATAATGGTTAAACTGCTCAGGCCCTAAACCCTAAGTTAAGTGGTTCGATCCCACCAGCACCATCTCTGGAGAAAGATGGGGATGGCTGCTTCCACAAAGATCACAATCTTAGAAACCTTATAGGATAATTCCACTCAGTCCTATTGGTTCTATATGAGTCTGAATTGTCCAGGCAGTCCATGGTATATTCAATACCCTTTGCAGTAATAGAAACGCCAATTCTCAAATTTACATGAACCCACTGCCTAACTCATGATGACATTCCATTTGGGTTTCTGAGGTTAAAAAATCTTTATGGGAGGAGATTGCCTAAGTTTCTGGCTCAGAGCAGCTGGGGAATTCAAACCTACCTATTCCCCTGACCTTTTGGTTAACAACCCAGCATGTAACGCACTGTTTCACCAGGGCTCCAAATTTGGAAGAGTAAAGCCGGAGACCCCAGCAGCTACATCAATCTTCAAGAAGAAGAGTAAAAAGGGAGCTCTGGTGGCCTAGTGGCAAGAAGCTGAGCTGTAATCCCAAATGTGTGTGGTTCAAATCCACCAGATGCTCCGCTGGAGAAGTGTAGACAATCTCCTCCTGTGCCAGTTATACCTGACTCAATGACACACAACAAAGGAAAAAATAAAGAGTAAAATAAGAGACCATTCACTTTCTAATTTCCAAATATGCCACAGTAAAACCTATGAGAGCCAGAACTAGACTGGATTGCCTTGCTGTTCAGGGCTCACAAGTTTTCTGCCTTTGACAGGATATAGTCTTGTCACTTTTCTATTCCTCTTTTTTATTGGAAAAATAGTTGAGCTTTGCTTCTCTGGTAAGTTTCCAGCTTATACAGATTTTAGCTTTCACAGACTTTATAACAAACTATCGTTGTTATATGCCACTGAATAACCTGCAACTCACCAAGACCCCTATGTACAACAGCTCTGAGCCCTGCCGTATCCTGAGTCAGTCTCACTGACTCTGTCAAACCTACCCTCATTGCACCAGTTACTGTGTCAATCCATTTCATCCAGGGTCTTCCTCTCCTATGCTGTCTCTCTACCCTTCTAAGCATATTATCCCTCTCAATGGACTGGTCCCTCTTAGACACAGTCCAGAGTATGTCAGAAGAGCTTCAAAATCCTTGCCTTCAAGGAGCAACTTGCTTTCACCCTTTCCAGAATAAACTGTTCTCTTGACAGTCCATAGTATCTTCAATACTCTTCCCCAGGACCAAAACTCAAAGGCTTCAATTCATCTTGTGTCATCTTTGGTCATTGTCCAGCTCTCTGATGCATAGCAAGTTAATTGTGAAGTCCATGCTATAGTCATTTAAACTGCCATAACAACAAACACAACAATAACTTTTTTTTTTAATGGGCAAAGTAACCCAAGAAGACATCCAAATGGCTACAATCTTTATTATTTAATGTCCAGTTCTAAAACTCATTATCATAGATTTGAAACTGGCTCACAGCTGACCCTCCAGTCAGTTTTCAGAGACTGTGAACCACACTGGAGAAGATTGCCCATTGTTCTTCCTTGGAGCTGCTGTTGGATTTGAACTGTCAGAGTGAAGCCATATTTGGGTTAGCAGTGTAGCTCCCTACAATCTGCCCTACCAGAGATCCTTATCTCGTGCTACCATAACAAAAAATACTACAAGTGGGTGGATTTAACAAAGAAATTTGTTTTCTCGGCATTTGGGAGGCTAAAAGTTAAAATCCAGGGTGTTGGCTCTAAGGAGAATCTGTCCTTTCCTTGTCAGTTCCCCCAAATGTCATCTCTTCAACTTCTATTCCTTGGATCTTCATGTAACATTATTTATCTCCCCCAGCTCTGTTTGCTTTCTTTCTTGCTGGTTTAATCTCTTTTATATCACAAAAGAGGTTTAGAATACATCTCACACTCTCTCATTAACACAACAAAAATCAATTTCCAAGTGGGATTATAACCATACAAATAAAGCATGAGGTTTAAAAAAAAACACATTTTTGAGACCACAATTCACTTCATAATAGCTCTCAAATACATGAAAAATGCTCATCATCATTAACCATCAGAGAGATACAAATTAAAAATATACAAAAGTCTTGGCATTTTAGTATTACAAAATGGCCCTCCTGGTATGGTACATATAGGATTACTAACTGAAATTTCCATGACACAAACTTTGTAGTTAGTGTTCAATTGCAACATTTTTCATAATAGCCAAAAAGTAGAAACAGTGTAAATATCCATCTTGGGGTAAATGAGGAAACAAAATGTGGCCTATATATACATTGAAATACTACTCAGAGAAGTGAAGTCTTGATACATGTTACAATATGGGTAGAACTTAAAGATAGTATGCTGAATGAAATAAATCCATCACAAAAAGACAATGTCTCCCTCAAAAACACAAGAGTAGGTAAATGAATAGAAACCAACATTTACTTGTAGCTATAGAGAGAGGGAGAGAGGAATTACGACTTATGGAGCACCAAATTTTAGCTTACAGTGATAGAAAAATGGAATTGATTAAAGATAAGATTCCATAACTGATTAGTAGTTATGGTCATTAAGTTAAACTTGTAAAAAGTTGAATTGGCAAATGTTGAGTGATAAATATATACACAACAACAAAAACAACTTTTTTGACACCTTATGATTTGAGGGTTTAAGATCATAGTTTTATGGGACATCCCAGTTAGTTGGACTAATACTGTATTTAGTGCTTCTGTTCGTAGCCTCTATTTTGTTACTTTGTGTTTGGGGTCTTAAAATCTTGCTTGCATGTGTCCTTGCAAATTGTCCAATTGCGAAACTCCAATGGAGATGGTCTCCATGTACCTAGAGCAAAAGAGAGAAGGGATTTTAAGAATTAGAGGAAGACATGTAATGTTTAATTACTTCTCTCCATGAATAACTCTCTCTTTTGTTATGAGACCAGAAGAACCAAGTAGTGTCATTATTGAACATTTTAATCTAAGATTGTGTAGAAAAATCCCTATCAAAAGAGAGATAGTGTAGAAAAAGATTTCAAATTCCCATGGAATCTGGACTTTATGGAGCCATGGAGCCTGGATGAACTTCTGAAACTTTTGTTCTAAGAAAACTCTTAAATTTTAATAATAATAATAATAATAATAACCCTCCCTGAAGTCTTCCTAAAACTTAAGTTGTTTTGGCTTGATTTGTAAAGAAAGTCTGCCTTAAGCATCAAACTATTTTAAGAACTATATATTTGAGATTAAATTGACTACAGCTAACTGGAAAGATTTGATAGGAAACTTGAAATAAAATAAAGCAGTTAGTTTATGTTAATAAAGGAGGAAGAATGCAGAAAAGGAAGGCAAGAATGGTTACATACTTGAAGGATGTGATCAATGTTGATGGATTATTTATGTAAAAATTGTTGA